AACCATAGTATGCAGTACCATTTACTCTCAGTCAGTGGAAAAAAGTGGTATCAGTTGTCTTTCGAAATTTATGAGGGTCAGGTATGGACCACTGGAAAGATGAAGAAAAGCGGATATGGTAACATTCAGGTAATTATGAAAAAAGGGAATGGTAATTCTGGTATTATGAAAAAAGGGAATCATGGTACATTCTGGTATTCCATGGTATTATAAAAAGCGGATATGGATACATTTCTGGTATTATAAATAAATTGCTGGGATGCATTAGATTTGGGACAACCTATAAAAGCTATTTGGACTGCTCGGAGGCAGCAAGGTTTATGATATTGGCTACGCATAGGATATCGGTACACTATATAATATGTATAGGATAGATTTTGAAAACAAAATTAATTTCGTATCACCACTGCATAATGTGCAAGGCGCCCGAGTTGCATAATCTCGACGCATTACTTTGCATTGCTGCACGAAACTGCATCTATCGATCAAATAGCATTGCCCAAAGAATTGTATTTTTTTTTTTATTATTTTAAATTTTATTGCAGGTTTGTCTATTGTTTAGTGATATATTTTTTGCCGACCATATAGTATGTGAATAATGCAGGCACACTAACACAAACCTTGTGCATATAAAAATAACGTTTGAGTGATAGTCCTCTCTACATCAATAGAAACCCAACATTTTGGATAGATGCTTGGACATCTTACCCTTAGCTTTTTTTGCAGGACATGTACACTGTTCTGTAATACCACCAACTGAAATCTCTCTTCTAGCTCTCTCCTTCTCTGCTTCTGTAAATAAATTCTATCACTCAACTCAAATCCCATCATCTCTAAATTAAAACAACCTCCCCCACCAACTCAATCCCTCTCCTCTTCTCCCCTCAGATCAGAGTTACAGGGCCCTCACGTCCCGAACTCCCATTCCCTCTCTCCTCTATCTCTACAGCCCCACCTCCTCAACTAACTCTCCCTTCTCCACTCTATAAATAAACCCCGCACCACTCAGACAACCTCCTCCGTCTCGCTCTGTAACAGACTCTCACAAGCTCACCCTCTCTTGGACCCTCTCTCGTACTTATAGCGGTAAACCAACCCCACCAACTAACCTTCTCTCTCGCTCTCCTTCCTCTCAGATCTCAGAGTTACCGGGGCCCTCACCGTCCCCGAACTCACCAGCAGATGTTCGAGAGAGCAAAAACATGATGACAGCCTGCGATCCCAGACACGGCCCGCTACCTCACCGTGGCCGCCATCTTCAGAGGCAGGATGTCCATGAAGGAGGTGGACAAGATGCTCTCCGTTCAGAAAAGAATTCCAGGTGGAGGATTTAGAGGTTGTTAGAAGGATTGCAGGTGAGGAATTCGTTGTTCTTAGAAGGATTCCAGGTAATTTAGTGCCCTGGAGGGGAGGGGGCTCTCCTTCAGAACAAGAATCCAGGTGGAGGATTCTGTGGTTGTTAGAAGGATTGCAGGTGCGAATTTTGTTGTTCTTAGGATTCCAGGTGAGATAGTGTCATTAGAGGAGGCGCTCTCCGTTTCAGAACAGAAAGAATTCCAGGTGAAGGAATTTGCGGTTGTTAGAAGGATTGCAGGTGAGGAATTTTGTTTGTTCTTAGAGGGATTTCCAGGTGAGGAATTCCAGGTGAGATAGTATCATTAGAGGAGGCGCTCTCGTTCAGAACAAGCAATTCAGGTGAGGATTGAGGTTGTTAGGAGGATTCAGAGGTGAGGTTTGACGGTTGTAGAGGATTGAGGTGAGATCGTTGTTCTTAGAGGGATTCCACGGGTTAGGAATTTCCCGGTGAGATAGTGTCATTAGAGGAGGGGCAGGCGCTTCTCCGTTCAGAAAAGGAATTCCAGGTGAGGATTTGCGGTTGTTTTAGAAGGATTGCAGGTGAGGATTCTGTGGTTATTAGAAGGATTCCAGGTGAGGAATTAGGTGAGAAAAGTGTTTAAGAACAAGAATTCCAGGTGGATGATTTTGTCGGTTTTAGGAGGGATTCCCACAGGTGAGTTGGTTTTCTCTTACGGGAGCGATCTCTGATTAGATACAAGAATTGCGGTGGAGAATTCATTCTCTTTTTTATTATTTAGAAGACAATCAGTGGAATTTTTTTTGATTAGAGCGATCATGAATAAGTGTATTAGAGGAGCGCTCTCGTTCGACAAGATCCAGGTGCAGGATTTTTGCGGTGTAGAAGGGGAATAGCAGGTGAATTTGTTGTTCTTAGAAGGATTCAGGTGAGGGTAATTCCAGGTGAGATAGTTGTCATTAGAAGAGGCGGTGCTTTCTCTGGTGTTTCAGAACAAGAATTCCAGGTGAGAATTTTGCGGTTATTAGAGGAATTCCAGGTGAGTTGGTTTTCTTAAGGGATGCGATCTCGGTTCAGACAAAATTGCAGGTGAGAATTTCTCTTTTTTATTATTTAGACAATCCATAGGTGAGAATTTTTCGATTAGAGGAATTCCAGGTGAGATAGTGGGTCATTAGAGAGGCGTCTCTGTTTAGGAAAGAATTCAGGTGAGAATTTGTGGGTTATTAGTCGAAATGTTCCAGGTGGGATTGATAGAAGGATTTCGCGGGGAGGAAAAAAATTTTTTGTTTCCCTTAGGATTTTAGAGAATTCCGGTGGGGATTTAGAGGTTGTTAGAAAGGATGCAAGGTGCGGATTCTGTGGTTAATTAGAAGGATTCCAGGTGATTTAAGTGGTTGTAAGGAGGGTACTCAGAACAAGAATTTCCAGGTGAGGATTCTGCGGTTGTTAGAGAAATTCAGGTGAGTGGATTTGTCTGATGGTTTATTAGAAGGATTTTCAGGTGATTAGTGTTATAT